AGCCTGTTTGGCTCAGTGTCCGCTTTGTTCTCGCCCACCGCTCTGTACCCGGCACGAATACACCCGGAACCAGGAAGACACCTTACATTCCATAAACCCGGACATACCTGTCCATATAAGCAGCACCCCTGTAGTCTGGAGTGCGGCTCCCCCAGACCAGACACTGTGGACCGCGGGACTTCGCCCAGGCTGGGTTTTTCTCCCTGTTTGTTCTAATTCAACTGATTTGGTTTCTGGCGCCTCTCAACTACCTTACAGTTAGCAACCCAACATGTAACCCACTACACCCTCAGGGCTCCCTCTGACTACATTCAGTCACTAAACTTTGGAGGTTGTTTGTTATTGCAGCAAAAGCTAGACTATGTGACTGATGCAGTCACTAATGGGTTATCTGAATTGTCCCCAGGGTAGAGAACAAATGGACAAAAATGCTTTTCAAACTCAGTTTGAAATCTCCACGCGGACCTTCAGAACAAATGCTACCATCGCTGCTAATATTTTGAACAGTAAATTCTTAACACACGTGCACACACCCACACCCACACACACACATCACCTCTTGCAAACAGGCCACTTGACACTCTTGTGGTTCAAAGGTATGTGTACTTGTTCCTAATTATTTCTTAAAATCAAATTCCTTGTAATGGAATTGCTACGCTAGCACATAGACACAAAGTTGACACTCTTTTGTCACATACTTCTAGTCTTCTTCTCAAAGAGTTACAAAATGTAAACTTCTAGCGGCAATCCAGGCAGCCGATTCAGAAGGGAGCAAGTTGCCATTACAAAAGTAATCATTCTTGTTCAGGTACCAGCCCATGCATCACAAAATGGAAAACCTATCATCCAAACCCGAATATGTTGAAGGCATCCCACTGAGGAGAGAGAAGGGCAAAAGGACCAAAAACCATCCAATCTGCTGCTTGTTCATCCTATGTTTGTTGTAGAGCCCGTACTTAGCACCAATGGAAAAGGCCAGCGTCCTTATACCAGTTATACTGCACACACCAGGACACCCAGTGGAGGGTGCTGGCGAGCCGAAACCCAACCAGCACGCCACTCCTCAAGCTGTGGCACCGGGAACCTGACATCTTTTCCCAATTTCTTCAAAGATGCCCTGTAGGCTG